CTGAAAACACTCTGCGGCTGAGGCACGCGTGAACGTGTCTGCCACGCCGTGTTTCCGACACAACGCTTCGCTTGATGGAGAGCGGATGCTGGATTCGGAAGACGAAGCAGCCGACCCCCCCACGACGTGCGTGCAGCTTTCGCGAACGATACGTACATGGCTACGGAGACTGCCATTCCACGCACTCTGCATGCCAGCACCGGACGAAGGACAGCGGCTTCTGCATGCAGCCGGCCTACGTGCTTGTTGTGGCGATACGGAGGCGAGCGACGGAAATTCGAAATTGCAGGGCCGTTGGAACGTGGGAAAAATTCAAAACCCATATTTACGAGGCCCTCCCCACCCCAGACGGTGCCACGGTCCAGGGCCCAACGGTCAGCGTGCAACAACAACCCTTGTCCGGCCTGAGGCCCGCTGGACCGAACACTGGACCGGTACATGTCCGCTTTGCAAGTGCCCGACTTCCGTCCGAATGACCCGGAGTACGCACCCAAGAGGTAGGTAAACGGGCCGGGTTTTGGAAAACGGGAATTCAGGGCCACGTAGGAGCGAGGGGGCCGCGGACCGAGTGGAAAGGTTCGGCCGACGACTTCCGCGACGCCGAAATCCGTCTGTGGGGTCTCGGAAGTTGGCTCAGAACTTCCGAAACCGTTTGCCGCGGTCCTGTGGGGTCCTACCCTTAGCTAGTTATCTCTCAATGACAGGAGCTTTTGCGTCTCAATTCCTCTCACTACTGTTGGCTACATTTCTGTTTTCCATTCCTCTTGCGGGAGACCTGGTTCTGCGTCCCCGTAGATCAGTGTGAATGATGTCCTTTCGCTCTGAAAGCCTTCGCCCTGCTGGCTGGTCCCCTTTCCCGATGTTACCCGTTCTCCTTTCCCGCCCTCCTTCCACCAGTTGATAAAGCAGCTTGCTTGGTTCGAAGATCAGCGTTGCGAGTGCTTCTAGGAGCTTTTCTTTTGAAAGATCACCGTCGTGGTCCCGTGGGTGCCGCACGGAGATTTTCTTTTGAGGAAAGAAAACAAAATGAGTTCAGTTCATTGGCAGAGATTCTGTCCTGAATGATAAAATACTTTGCCCAGTCTCCTTTACACCCACATGCATCTGAATACACATACTGTGACATACATATACATAATTTATATGCTCACATATGGAACTCCTCCCTGGAGCCCCCTGCGGAGAACTCTGCTAACATACATATCTTCTTACATATATGTTTCCTTTTTGCTGCTCAGTTAGCCCCCCTTTCTTTCGATTGGGATAGTCAATGCTGGCAGTCTGAGTACTCTGAGCAATCTGTGCCTTTCATGTATAATGGGACGCTGGACCCTGTTTCCAGCAGGTGCAGCTCCCCACCAATAGATGGAGCAGCTGGAGGCTACTACTAGCGGGGGATGCTCGTATCACCCCCTCTAGTAGACAGCGAAGGCTTAAAAAAAAAAAGGAGTTCACTTCCCATCATGAACAAGAATATTAAAAAAAAATAAAAAAAATCCCACCCTGCCAGACGTTGTGGCCAGGTCGACGGCATTGATTAGCCATCCACAAGGAGGGGGATTGACTGCATGACCCTACTGAAGTCAATTTTGAGGGGATGGCTTTTCCATTTTGTAAGGCGGCAGTGTTGCAAATCTCTTCACCTGCTGCCAAAGGCGCCAGACTGACTTGCTTTCTAGTAGGCCCCACGCCAATCCCCCGTATACAACAAAGCAGATCCGAAAGCACCCAACACTGAAGATAGGTGTCAGTGCACACAGTGGAGCTTCCGTCCCTGAGACACCACAGATAGAGCTGCCCTTTATCGGACTCTAAGTCTCATCAAGCCGAGACCAAGCCAGGTCAGTCATTGCCAGGGAGTGAGGGGTAAGAGGTCAGGAAGATCCGAGGCTGGGTGGAAAGGACACGTGCCCGAGATCCAGTGCTAAACTAGCAAAACCTTGGCTTTCTCCCTTCGATGGTTTTCACTGTAGGCACTACCACCCCGAGCGCGTCACCGGCCTAATCCATGCAGAAGTCAGTGAGAAGCTGTGCATGTTTACTAACCTATGTCTGTCACCCGAGTCCTGCGGATCCTGCCATCATGACTTTCTGCTGTTTCTTGATTAAAATTTCTAAAAAATTTCTATCTGATTTAGATCTTTGACCGGGGTCTGAGATCTGATCTCTGACTCGTGGGCCCACTCTGGGCTCAAGGTGAACCTTCGGGTTCACAAGCCTTAGGGCGAGAGCACCAGCGCACCTCACCTTGATCCGGCTTGCCCAGTAGGTTTCAAGCCTATGTCGCAGTGAGTAGGTGCTGGGTGCAGATCCCGGCTGTCACTTTCAGTGGCCTGAGGATGGTGAACACAAAAATGATGCTGGTCAGTTTGCTACGGGGATCACTGGAGTGAATTGTGCCACCCTGTAACCCATAGCGACGCTTGTCAGTTCGCTGGGGTGATTTGCGCCATCGTGTGACCTGTACCTATGCGGGGGCATGAGGCTTGAGAGATCTGGGGTAGTGGCCTGCTTCACTAGGTGTGGCGCTCTAATGTGTGGTGGGTAAGGCCTGTTTAGGTCCTACTGTAGCCAGTTGGGACATACACAAGAATTCTGTGGTTGAATTTTAGCCACAGCCATGTTAGCTGACATCCACGTGGTCGAAGTCTACTCAGAACCATCCTAGCTGACATCTATGGCTCCACTAAGATGGCTATCAGGGTTCAGCCCCTGACAGGGACCCTGGATTCACTACTGATACTCTCTGCAGGCCTGGACATTGAATACCAGGTCCTGTGATAAAAGAGGTTCCATAAGAAATGATCATGGCATATAATCTACAATAATATCACTGAATCACCTGGGGCCGGTCACGTGTGGATGTATCTTAAGACTGCGGCCGTTTTACCAAAACAAACAACAGAAAAAAAAGCACCATCATCCGGCCCACCTGAAACAGGTGCCGTTTGAAGGGCTCCACAGGGGGGCTGCACACAGACAGGGTAACCTGACCTGCCGATCCCAAGACTCCGGATCCCCCTTGTGATTTTCTGCCACAGAGAACCCCACCTTCTCCAGATGGACCTCTCTCTTTACCTGTACCATCTGCAGTTTCAGAAAGGCCTCGATACAGTGCTTGCACCAAAGGATGGCAATGCCTCTTTGCTCCATATGGATCGGGCTACAATCCACTCTTCCGTAGAAAGGCACCTGTGAAGGGTTTTCCACCTGAAGACCGCAACATTTAAGCCACTAATACCTCTGAAAGCCGTGGCGGTTAATAAGCCACGGTAATGAGGAACAAACGGGCCATTACAGAAGCACCCAAATTCATCCGACTAGAAACACTTCTACTCTATTCTTTCCTGTGGCCTAATACTCTGTGCAGTCTGCCAGTATGACCCTGTTTTTTAGACCCTGTAGAAAGCAGGGTCCTACAACTGTGTGTTGGTCCCATGTGGATCGGTCTATAATCCACTCCGCCGTAGGAAGGCTCCTGTTAAGGATTTTCCACTGAAGACTACGACATTTAAATGGCCTTATGCTCTGTGTAGTTTGCCAGTAGACCCTGTTAAAAACAAGGTCCTACAACTAACCCTTCGTGATGATATACTGCCAACAGGGGGCCATGGTGACCTTCCAGCCCAAGCCTCACTCTCAGTCCTTTGGAATCTGGATCAAGAAGGACATCCAAGAGGGGAGTGTAAAGTTTGAAAGCCAACCACCTTGCTGGGGAGCCTACCACACTGATGAGGAGGGAGGGAGGACGCTGCTTACCTGCCACTTGCCCAAGAGGCGTTCAGAGAGTCCAGAGTAGTCGTTTCCTAAGCAGCTCCATTTTTTTCTGAGCCAAAGCCGTGTAATGGCCCCGGTATCTCAATTTCCAAAATTCTATGTAAACTTTCATATGGGACGCTGGGCCTGGTTCCCAGCACGTGCTGCTCCCCACGAATAGACTGGAGCTCTTTTCTTAAAAAAAAAAAAAAAAAAAAAAAAAA